ATATTCACCTTGTTATGACTGTGTGCGAGAGATATGAGAGAATGACGTTTATTGTGATTTAATTAACAGACTAAATTACTTATTGGCTTGGTTGTTCATTCATTGATTATTTTCACCCGTGTAGGGGGGGTCCCGGCAAGCACTGTCGAGAACTGGCACTGGGCGAGCTCATGAACCGCGCTTCCCTTCCCCATACAGAGAATGGGAGCGCCAGTCTCTTGGGCGCGCTAAACACTTCATTCTACGACCTACGTACGACCAGCTAAATATGACCATTGACGTTGTTTCATTTTATCCACCACACGTTTGGTCGGAAAACAAGAACCTCAGGCAAAACGCGGCGCAACCTTCGCGACAGCATTTGAAATGCGCGGCAGGAAAGTGTTCCCACAATTTCTCATACTCTAGCCTCGCCGCAAGCCCTTCAGCGTCAATGACAGAAACTGTCGAATGAATCTGCGTCCCCAGCCCTAACGTTAACCTCTTCCGTGGTTTTCTGCTTCTTTCGGCAGACTACAAAACAAGCAAAGATTTGCATTTTATCCTAAGAATATGTCAAATATATCGACGGTACTTTGAAATGAGGGCAAATCCTCTAACCTCAGCGACCGCTTTGCCTTCAAATCTGTCATGGTCCGCCTCTTAACAGGATTACTTTTATCGCTTGAAGAGCTATCCTGCTTTGAATCAACTGCACTCAGATCACCGCAGGTATGGACTGTTAAAAAAGTTGACTTTTCGGATTGATTGCAATATTTTTTTTGAAGTGGCTGACTGTTAATTTTTTTAAAATCAACTATTAATCCATTGTGAAGATATATTTGTATAAGCTGTATTAGGTTTAGATTCCAATGAATCAATATTGATATCCTATATCAAACCTTACGAAAAATTAACAATAATATGTGAGAAATAATTTTTTAAATATTTTACCAGGATTTTGGGAGGCTCTCAACTGGACTTTTGAAATGTCGTTAACACAACATTCCTCATCTTCCCCACCATCTACATGTCAAAATGATGTCGACTGTGCATTTGGATCGGAACCAGACTCTTATCAGACTATGTCTGTGCTTGGACAATGTTGTGGAGACGTAGGACAAGTTTACTTGGCTATTTACAAGCCATTAGACACCCCTATAGCTCTCAAGAAATTTAACATGGATAAGGCGAAGGATGAATTGGAAAACATTCAGGTACATATTGTAATTGTTAATTTTACAGACATCCAACTATGAGAGGAAACTTGTTTCTCGAATCACCAAAGATAATTCATTCATTTAATTTCCCTGTTTTCTAGAATGAAATAATTTTAACTCGCCAGTTACGCCATCCAAATGTTGTTGTGATAAATGCTGCTTTTGTAATGGAGTCACATGTCTGTGTGGTATCCCCCTTGATGGCATTTGGGTCTTGTCGAGATTTATTGAACAGACATTTTTCGGATGGTCTACCTGAACTTGCTATCGCTTATATTTTGAAAGATATTCTTTATGCCTTAGATTACATTCATAAAAAAGGTTACATACACAGGTAAGATTTCTAACTGAATTTTGAATCTAAATTAAAGATAGATACACGAAATGTGTTGTGTTCGAGGGTATCAGGATCCTATTTACTTTGTTTCTAGGGCTGTACGAGCAAGTCACATATTAATAAATGAAAATGGACAGGCAGTTCTTTCTGGATTGAGGTATGCATGTAGGGTAGTAAAGAATGGCAGATGGCAAAGAAATGTCCACTCATTTCCTCCAACTACTGCGCGTAATTTAAACTGGCTCAGCCCTGAGCTCTTGGAGCAGGTTTGTTATACCTGTTATTTAATGCATACTAAAGAACAAAATTAAGGAAAAGCACTTACTCAGATTCTTCATTTCCAGAATTTGCAAGGCTACAATGAAAAGTCTGATATGTACAGTTTAGGGGTCACTGCTTGTGAGCTTGCCAATGGTATGGCTCCATTTCAGGACCATCCACCTACTCTAATGCTGACTGAGAAAGTTAGGGGTTTTGCACCAGTGTTATTAGATTGCACAACATGTCCCCAGTATGCTGATACAGGTCAACAGAACCCCAATACTGCTTTTACTCAAGGTAAGCCACTTACTTGATTGAAACTATTCAATTAATTTTTCTAATTCTAATGAGGTTGATAATCTATCTTTTATATAGCTGATTCTGGAGTTGGGGATAGTGTTGAATCAAATGGCAATAGCCTAGAAGGTGGAACCCTTGCAACAAGACGTCTCACAGACCACTTTCACCGCTTTTCGGAATTGTGTTTGCAAAGGGACCCTGAAAATAGACCCACTGCTGGACAACTTATTCTTCATTCATTCTTTAAGCTACCGAGACGAATGAATGCACCTCCTTTGCCACAGCTGCTGCATCCAGTCATTCCTCTCACTAAAGAGGTGATAGATTGTCAGAGTAAGTATCGCTAACTTGCACTCCAGTTAATGTTTTTAATCATAAACTTCTTGTAGTTTCAATAATTTTATCTGATTTCCCCCCCACTTTTTTAGACAACCAAGATTATTATGCTGTGGCAGATCGTCTCAGTGACTTAGAAATAAATTCTTGTGAGTGGGACTTTTAAGAGAATACCCAGAAATTTAGTTTGAAGGAGAACAGTGTCAGAGTCTTAGGTATTGTACAATACTCACAATATTCACCTTGTTATGACTGTGTGCGAGAGATATGAGAGAATGACGTGTATTGTGATTTAATTAACAGACTAAATTACTTATTGGCTTGGTTGTTCATTCATTGATTATTTTCACCCGTGTATTGTTTGTGACTGACAGTGTGCTAGCAATGGGCAAATATTCTTTGTCCTCATTGTTCTTTTGATTTTATTACCTTAAGTACAAAAGAGTGAGTTTAGCCATATCATTGGTTAATCAGAAGGACACTAATCGAGACTGAATAGTATAACAAATGGGGAGAGTATTTAATTTTATTTTAATGAGCATTTCTTGAATTTTCTGTTTTTCATTTCTTGTTATCGTTGGAATGAGGTGAGCCCTTCTGATGTTTTCAGCGTTACCATGTTGGATCAATGACTTTCAAATGTATTGTCCAATCTGAAACTAAGTATTGATTGATGTATATCACGCATTTCTTTCAAAAGCTTCACTGTAAATTAGAGGAGTCATATTTTTCCTATGCATTTTGTAGATTTACGGTAAATTACAAGTATTCAATTTTGTTACCTTGAGAGATATGAATTGATAATAAAAGTAATTTGCCTGATTTTTCAAAAACAAGACATTGTGATTCAGTGTCCCACGTCGCTGGGGTGGGGTGATAGCAGATTCACTATTGGTTCCTACATACACGGTGTGTGTGAAAAGTTGCGCAATTTGCCTACTTTTCAGGGGACTCAGTGCAGACGCCCCCACCCCCCTTTTTCGCCCTGAAACCGCGCTAGGCAGCCGAGGGGGAGGGGGGGCCTCACGAGGAGCGCCGATAGTAGGCAACCCCTTCGGCGCGCACGCCGAGCACCTTGCCTACCCCGCGGGCGGCGGCGCCAGCCCTGCTCAGCCCGCCGCCCGCCTCATCTCCATTTTATTGCCTCTCCTGATCCACCTTCGCGTGCACCACAGGGCGGCGCAGTACAACACCCGTCCCTGGGATTTAATTACACCTGCTGGCCCGGAGTCAGTCGGGTCCTTCGTCGTCCACACACCAGCAGCGGAGCGCGATCACACACAAAAAGGAGAAGAGGGAAGAGAGCGAGAGCCGCAGCCTCTCACCCCGCCACGCCGCGCCGCGCCACGCCGGGCGGAGCGCGCGCCGCCGCGGCACACACCGCGCAGAGAGCGCACGCCGCTCTGTGTTGTTTTACGGTCACTTTATGATCTGGACCAATAATTTTGCGACTCCGCGAGAGAGGCGCGGCTATAACCAGCCGGAGAGCGGCGGCCGGACCGGGGCCGGGGGCCGGCAGCGCGACGCCACGGCGACGTCCCGTCCAGTCTTCTTGGTCCTGCGGCATCAGAGCCGCCCGTAAACACGAGTAGAGCCGCGCACGACGCGCTGCATGCGTCGCCCGCTCTGCTTTAATGGACGCCCCGCCCGGGGCCCGAGAGGCTGTCCTGCCGGACGCCGCGGGGGCTGCTTGTGGTGGATGGGGTGGACAGCATGCATCTGACATGGATGGTGTGTCGGAAGGGTTGCCTACCCCTGTACCAGTAGTGGGCGGCGCTGCGGACGTCGAAGGACTAACTTGTAGTGCAAGACTCTAGAGGGGGTGGTTTTTCGGAAGGGTTGCCTACCCTCTGTACCATTGGGCGCTGGGGACGCTGGTGCAAGACTTTGACGGGGGTGGTGTGTCGGATGGGTTGCCTACCCCCCCTGTACCGACGGGCGCTGATTCTCCTCCCACCTCGCGACTCGCGACGCCGCCCGACTGGACCGGCCTGGCCTGGCCTGGCTGGCCGCCCCGCCTCGTCGCCAAGCCGTGAACTTGGCCTTCCCCGCCGCTCTCGCTATGCCGCTCTTGCCAGGTCGCCGCCGTCGCCGCTGCCGCCCGTACCGGACTACGCCCTGCTCCTCTGCCCCGCCCTCCCCTCCCCTCCACGGTCCGCCGGCACAGGTCTCTCGCAAAGCCTTTTGCTCCGCCCGCGGTGCTGCAGTTAATGAAGACATCGCAAAGTAGCAGGTGAATCCAGAGAGGCGGGGCGGGGCGGGGCGGGGGCTGCTGGGCTCGTCAATTATGATTGGTGCGACAACAACCGTAAACTGCGCGATATGAGTAAACGTCACGTGATGGTTTTAAAACTGTAGTTTATTACGCTTCGGGCCACAATTATTGAACGCAATAAAACCGGGGGTCCCGGGGTCCGGGCCGGGGCGAGGGCTTTTGCGAATAGCTCCGGCTCTGATGAGCAAGTCGTTAATGCGGGCAGGGCGACTTTTTATTAGACAGGACAGGGCCCTTGTGAACTGTCTCTATATCCGCGAAGGTACACAATAATATTCCAGTACCAGCCAGTTGCCGTTTCGGGCGACTCGTTTCACAGACAGTCTGTCTTCGGGTCACATGACAGTAGTCGTGTGTGATGTCGCGGGCGAGGTTGGCACCACCCCGTCACATGAGGGCCAACTGCCCGACCCTGTCGCCAGGGAGTCTGTCGCACTCGTCGCACAGCACCGCTGCATCTGCCCGCGGAAGCAAGTCGAGTACGAGGCGGCGCAACTCCTCGCAGGTTCCCCTGTCGTGGGACGACGGCATCCCCACCCTGAACAGCACGAGCCTCGTCAGCGCCTCCAAGTCGCACTCGTTCACTAAGTGGAGCAGCTGGAAGCGGCCGCAGAGCCATGACCCGCCCACAGATGCCATAGAGGACAACATGCCAATGCTCAGTTCCAGCACCTCCAGCGTGCGCCTGTTTGCCCGGAGCAGGGACTGCAGGGTGTCGGGCGGGAAGCAGTACGCCCTCAGGAACCGCAGGCCGTCGTTCTCCGGTGGGATGGCGGGCAGGACGATGTCGTCAGACTCCCAGGGCAGGGAATAAGCCACATGCAGATCCCTCAGCCTCGGCATGGCGTGTATCGCGCGCAGGTGATCCTCACGGGGGTTACGCACCCTTAGCTCCTCCAGGGTGGGTGCGGCTAACCGGAGCAGCTGGAGGTTCCATTCAGGGTTTATGTTGCAGGACACGCCGATTAGCCGTCCCACCTGCAGCAGGGTGCGACACCTTTTAGGAACCCGGCAGGATGGGTGGGCATGGACCCACGAGGAGATGTAGCCCGGCATAGACTTACCCCCTGGACGCGCTCTAGGTCCGCCGCAGCTCTAACCTCGTTGTTATAACTTTCCGACACGTTCATCTCCCGAATAGCTCTGGAAGGTACCGAGGGCGCAGGTGCAGGTGGAAACACTAGGGGTTGTCCAGGGGGTCGCGGTCGCAATGGGCCCACAGTTGGGCGAACAAGGGGCGCCGACGGTCCTGGCAAAACTTGGGCTACTGCGCCCGACGCGCCAGCAGCAGTATCACCAATGTTTCGGTCCTGCAACATTTATTTTTCAAATAATTATCAAACAAAACTTGTGAGCGCGCTTGCAAGTAACAATACACTCTAGCCGAGTGAAAACCGTGTAGGGGTGGAAGAGGGATTAAGGCGACCAAGAGAGATTTAGGGGATTGGCTGGGTTAGACTTACCACAACCAGCGCCAGAGGTAGGGCAGGTACTGAAGGTGCAGGTTGGAGTACTTGGGGAGGTTCCGGCAGTGGTGTTTGAGGGGGCACGCCGGTTGGAGGCCCTCGGGTTTGGGTGGGCGCCGCTGTCCCCGCCGCAGTGCTTGGGGGTGGGACCGCTTCTACTGATTCTACTCCGCTATCTGTGTTGTTTCCACTCCTGAACATTGTCAGTTCCGCCTTCACCGTGAGCGCCAGACACATGGCCTTGAACAGGGGGTCCGCCCCGGTGTTCCGTAGAATTCCCTTTAGGGTGGTTCTCTGCCCATCGGCCGAGCTGGCCCGTATGGCTAAGACCCAGGACGCGCTGTTCAGCAGGGTGAGCGCCTGCACCGCTTGCTCCTCCTGGCACTGGCCCGGTAGTGTCTCGAGCTGAGCCGCAGCCTCTGCCGGCACTCGGACGAGTTGACGCTTCAGAGCGGCCTTCGCGCAGAGGGTCATGTGCTGGTCCCGGCATGTGCGGGTTCCGGTGGAGTTGCACTCGAAGCACCACACGCGGGAAGCCCTGTAGGGGTCGCGTCACATGTCCTGAGCTTCATCTCGTACTTAGATAAATTGCTCGGCTGACCTGCGAGCTTTCTACGAGTAACTCACCTGTGCGCTCTGACAGCGTCCAGCAACTTAAAGTTGGTGGGAAGTCCCTCGGGTGAGTCACCAATAGTCTGGAGGGAAATTTTTAAAAAGAAGTTAATCAACTGCAGCACACAGTTTGGAAAAGTCCGCTGTAAATTGCGAAGTGCGATTCACTCACCCCCCCGCAGCCAGTAGGACACTTTCGTTCGTGCAGTTTTGTCAGGCACGACTGGCACACTGTGTGCCCACACAATACAATTATTTTTGGCAGACGACAGCCCTCATCAAACTCGTTGAAACATACGTCGCAGGATAAG